ATTTAAATCTTTGCCAAAAAGGACAAAGGATTCCTTTAAAATTAGTCACTTGTTTGGGAGGGTTTTTTTTTTTTTTTTTTTTTTTTTTAATATTTCTGTTCTGATAAGACCTCAGAAGTAGTGAGTGTGGAATGGACACTAATATTATTACTCCTAGTGAGTTTGCATGGACTTCTTCAGATTCACAAAGATGTAAGCATGTATTTAGTGCTCACCACATTAGGCATTATAAAACATGTTTTGAGGGGGTATAGAGGTTGTAAGACATAATGCAGTTCTCAATTAACTTATAGTATAATATGAGACACAAAATATTATACAAGAGGTAACTCTTGGCCTAAAAGAGATCAGTGGAAATAGTAATTGTGCCCTATATATACAGTATGTTTTGTGAAGAAAGGTCTGTTTGATATGGTGAACAGAATCAATAAAGGTTGACTCCCAGGCCCAGGAGAAGGGCAAGTGGCTTTGAAGCCTGAAGGAATGACAAGTAAGGAGATGGTTGGCATTATTGTGTTTGGAATTTGGCCAGACAAATTATTTTGGGTGTTCGTGTGCGTGCGTGTGTGGTGCACGGGCCTGTGTGATTAAAGTGGTAAAGTTGCTTAAGTTTAAGTGAGCCCAGCCTACAAATGGTCTTTGCATTTAGGGGTCTTCCTCTTTTCCTGCTTAGCCTCTCTTACACAAAGCCTGTTGCAGATGCCATAGTATTATATTTCTTTGGAGAAAAATAAAAACCAAAACGTGTTTTTGGAACAGCTGGATTCAGAAATTGTGTCTAGAACTGTCAAAAGCTGGACCTATGCTTTGAGATTAGGGGGTTTGGAGAGTTCTGGAGGGAGACTGAAAAATACTGAAAACAAATTTTACCTTTGTCAAAATTTTATTCTAGTTTAACAAGTCCAAAGAAGGGGAGGGAATTATTTTTCATTTTTGCATATAGTGACTTTCTGCTTCCAGAATTCAGGACTTAAGGCTTGTACTGTTGGTATTGGTAGTGTATGTCACTTACATTATTTTAAAGTTGGCCTGTTTTTGTATTTCCAAACAACAGATTGCCAAATTAACTAAATATCTCTTCAATCCTTGGGAGTATTTTTTAATGCATATTAACTCCCTTTTCTCACCTGTAATCAGAAGACTTACAGAACTGAAAAGTACATGAAGGAGATAATTTAGTACAACTTTCTTATGTTACAGATAGGGAATCTGAGACCTAGAGAAATGAGCTGACAAGGTCACATGGACCCTCCACTAGAAATATTCCATCTATACTTTTTTATTTTCACCTCCCCAAATTTTGTTCCCTTCAGAAGTTTCTAGAACTACTAAATTGTGAAATATTTTGAGTTTTGCTGTCACTTTCCAATTTTCTTTGCCTCCTTTCTTCCCATTTATTTTTTATCTGGTTCTAGGTAAGTGAGTCTAGCAACAGCAGGCATTTCCATTTTCTTTCTTTTATAGTAGGGTAGTAATTACATTTGATAAATAAACATGTAAATTTGAAGATCTTAAAATATTTTTACTGGGCATGCCCATGTTTTTAGTATGTTAAATCTTTTATAATAATTATGAAATGTATTGATGAAAAAGAATTCTTAATGTGAACTTTCTAATAATTATTTCTCTTTATATCTCTGTAGTTTCTTCAGACATTCAATATGTTGTTTTTAAAATGATCAAAATTAGTCTTATAACATTGACCACATTCAGGTACACTGATACTCATTAATCTAATCAGTTTGTTTTGTACCAGTACGTTTCACTTGGTTTTTTCCTCTGTATCATCTACCCTCTGGTAAAGAGTAAGGAGGGTTGATAGGGATTAAAGGCATGCATACTTTCAGTCTTTGAGGAACTTCAGTGTTCACTGAATACTAATTCTGAGTTACTGTATTTCACTGCATATTCTATGTGACAGATTTTATCATTTTATAGCAAACTTACTAATTTTTATATTTTATTGGTAAAATAGGAATAGCTTCATTGTAGAATATAGAGAGCTACCTAGCTTCTTTGGAAATTTGTCCTGTTAATTTTATTCTTTTCATCACTTTTTTTCTACCACCATTTCATGATAAAGTCTCTCAGTGCTTCTTCATTTCTCTTTTTTTTTTTTTTTTGGTTTTTCTCTGGTACCAGGAACCGAACTCACGACCTTGCACTTGCCAGGCAGGCGCTTTGCCGCTGAGCTAAATCCCCAGCCCCGCTTCTTCATTTCTCTTATTTCATATAAGCCAACATGAGGGAATAATGACAAAAAAAGTAATATGGTATCTTTTTATAATAAGGAGTTTTTATAAAGGAAGTATAATTGGTTAAGTCTTCAGTTCCTCTTTTGGTAATTTTGATTGTAGTATGAAATAGACTCATCACTAGCAAAATACAAAAACTTCAAAAGAAATGTGTGCTTGTGTGTATAGGGCATTTATCAGAGAAAATGTTTCATTTTGTTTTGTTTTTAGAGACAGGGTCTTGCAATGTAGTCCAGACTGGCCTTGAATTCGTTATGTTATCCAGGCTGGCCTTGAACTTGCAGTCTGCCTGTCTCAGCCTCCCAAGTGCTGGGATTACATTTAGAGGAAATTTTATTTAAGAAGAAAGTCTTCATCTTTACCTTGCCAACCTTTTTCTGGGCACTGTCATCAGTCTCAGCATTATTGCCCTATGTTATATATCCTATGATTGATTACCTGTACAGATCTTCATACATTTTTTTGTTTTTAACATCACTGTTGGTTTTATCTTTGTGCCAAAGTTGCTTCTTATGGGAAGGAAGGCTTTAAGTAAGATTTGTTATTGCTTTTATATTCAAAAATTGTATTTTTATTATAATGGTAAATATGAAGCAACAGTTGAAAAAGTTGGACTTTGAAACTAGGGATGCTGAGTTTGAGTTCTGGCTTCATTTACATATGACACGCTTTTAAATGCCCTTCTATGTTGTTCCTATCTTATACATAAAATGAAAGTAATATGATATAATTAACTTACCATGATTGTGAAGATGGTCCAAAAATTATGAAAATGGCATGCACACCTCATAGCATTTAGTAATCATTGTTTCCATTTTTCCCTCCATGTATTCATCCTAAGTAATACTTGAGAATCATTTTATGATGTGAAGCAGTCTTTGTCAAATGAAACATTATTTTGGGGCTTAACTTTTTACAGTGCCTATAATCCAACCCAGGGCTTTATGCATGCTGCTGTTGAGCTACATCTCCACCCCCTAAACCAAACATTGTGATGTCCTGAGAAAGTGTGGGTTGTCTTTAGAAAACTGAAGCTGCACGAGACTAACATTTATTTTCTGTTGAGCTGTTACAAGACTAGCTTCATATTATTTCATAGCCGTTTATTTTCCCCTTTACATGATTCTGTATAAAAACACTCCACTATGGATTCTTTACTACTGATTGAAGTCTGCTAAAGCAAGTGTCAAATGTGACTATTTTTTAGTTGTTTTCTTCTTTCCTATCATGTTTTTCACATCAGTGACTGTTCAGCTATTTAGCAAGGATACAAATGCCATTACTAAGTAAAATTGCTTTTTAGCAAAACTCAGTATTTTATAATATACAAAAGATGAAAAGTTTTTTTCGTATTTATTTTGTTGTATTTTTAGTAATAATATAAAAGTTGACTTATTTCAGATCTGACCAGTTAGAAAGCCAGTGAGTTAGAGTTTATTAATACTTAGTACAGTCTGCATTTGAATTTGGTTCAAGTAAAAGAACTATATATATGTTTTCAGGAGTATTAAATGTATAGTACAGGTCCCTAATCACTTATTTGAAACTCTTGGAGCTAGTTACGGTTCAGTATTCATAGTTTTTTTCCAAGTTTTTCAAAAGTAATACAGTAGGATATACTTTGTATTACACAGATGTCCCAGTGGGATTTGGTGCATTATGTAGAATGAAACATTTGACTCTTCACACTCAAGTATATTAATTAAGAACTACATAAAATCTCATAAACTCAGCTTAGGTTCTACTATAATTGCAGTTGTCATAAATTAAAAAAGAAAACGTTAGGGCCAGAGTTATAGCTCAGCGGCACAGTGCCTGCCTGACAAGTGCAAGGTTGTGAGTTTGATTCCTGGTACCAACAAGAACAACAACCAAAATGTTTTGGTGTTTTGTGTACTTGGGATTTTGGAATTGCTGATTAAGGAGCAGTGGACCTTTATTTATTTTAAAATGCCAAGTTTTTATTTTGAATAATTTAAAACCATCTAGTTGGGTTAGTAACTGGAGTTACTAGCATGCTGCTGACCACACTGATGTATGGAATCGCTTTCTTTTTTTTTTTTTTTTTTTTTTGTCTTTTTGAGGCAGGGCCTTGCTGTGCAGTTCAGGCTGGGCTTGAGCTCACTTTGTAGCCCAGTTGGGTCTCAAACTCACAACAATCCTCCTGCGTCATCCTCCCAGAGTGCTGGGATTACAGGCGTGTGCCACTGTGCCTGGCTGTTTTTTTCTTTTTTTGAATCTCTTTCTGAACCTATTAAATATGAGTAAGCCAGTGCATAATGCAAAAGTCACTACTATTAAAGACGTGTTTGTATGCTCTAGTACTGTTAAGTCAACATCTTACTATTCTATATTGATTTTACTTATTCTTTCATTGCTTCCAGATATTAATTAAAATTTATCATCTGAGAGATTACTGAATAGGATGATTCTTGGCTTATCTAAAGGGAGAAAGCTGTGGTTTAAAGCATTTAATAAGCATTGTGTCTAAGTAGACTAGTATCATTCAGGTTTTTTTTACTTATGCTTTTATTATTTTTAACATGTTTTAAAATAATAGAGAATTGTGTGTGCTCACCTGTTTAAAGATAATATTGAAATCAGTTGCTTGTTGATAAGTACTTGTGCAATAAAAATATATTGTAATAACTTGTAAATTTTCCATAGAGGAAATTTGAAAGTGTAAATGCAGATGAATTTGCAGTAGTTTGGTGGCATCACAAGTTTTGTAAGCAAATGTATAAGCTCTAATTGCATACACTTAACCTTTTAAGCCTCTGTTTTCTTAATTATAAAACAGGGATAATAGTAGTAACTTCATTACAGAATTCTTAGGTTTAAATGAATTAATGAATATAAAATACTTAGCAGAATACTTGACATGTTATGCAAGCTCAGGAAATGTTTGTTAATATTAATACTTTCCCCTCCATATGCAAAAAGGAATTTTATGTAATGTGTAAACTTTTCTTTTAGATGTGCTGAAAGACATTATGACACCGCCAAATTTAACTGCAGAGGTATGTATATATATACTGTAGTGTGCTGTATAACTGAAAACCAGTAGGTTGCATTTTTTTGTCATAGCAACAACGAATCAGCTAAATTAATAGGAAAGGTAAATATGTGTCTTTAATGATGGTCTGAGATAATTTGAAAATACTAATTTTGCTGTTGAGCTTTAGGAAACATGTATCATGTGAATCTATCAATATTGTCAGGAAGACGAGTGCAGAATAGACTTAAGAATTAGGATAAATTACTAAACTAATAATGTAATAAAGAGGAGATCCACCTGCTGCTGAGACAGTTGGTGCAATAGTAAGCAATTACATGGAGAAAACAGAACTACTTATTTTTTTCTATTGAGAAATGACTTACAATATGGGAAAGGATAAAATAATATGAATTTTTAAAAAGGAGCCTGAGCTGAGCATGGTTGTGCACACCTGTAACTCCAACATTTGGGATTAACTTCTTAAACCCTTAATGAGAAAATGAGAGAGTTGAGAAGCTTGGCAAATGCTGCTGAGGTAGTCAAAAGAGAAAGTGGGTAACATGAGCTATAGATTGGTATATTTGTCATTGAGCCCTGAAGGCCTAGAGTCAACTTGCAAACAGATGGTTTGAAAATTCTGAAGCTCTCATGACTGAGAGGCAGTGTAGTTTCACTAAGAATGTTTCTATTTTTGGTGGAATTAGGCTGTTGCTTACTAGGCAAAGCATGCCATAGTTGAGGTTCATCTAAATTTAAATAGACATTTAATAGATTTTCTTGAATATTTTTTTTGTACCACTGGGGAAATAAAGATAGAATGAGAGCATAGTTAGGCAAATTACTAAGTGAAAAGTTGTCCTACCAACCCTATATAATAGAACTCATTGTCCACCAGAAGAGCTCTCCTGTTATAGCAAAGGATTTAACTGATAATATCCTGTACCATATTGTGGTGATTTGGTTGAGGATCTAAGACATAGCTTTTACATGCTTAGGTGACACAGAGATAATTAGTGCTTTGGTATTGGTAAGGTTCTTTTTTTTTTTTTTTTTTTTTTTTTTTTTTGGTTTTTCTCCGGTACCAGGAACCGAACTCACGACCTTGCGCATGCCAGGCAGGCGCTTTTGCCG